ACCCAGGTGTGTGCGCGCGCGTGCACGTGCGGGCGTGCACACACACACACACACACACACACATACATGTGGGCGTGCACACGCCCACACACACACACACACACACACACACACACACACACACACGCGCGCGCGCGCGCGCACGTGTCACCCACCGTCCTTCAGCGAGTCCCGCACGTTGGACAGGAAGGTCGCCAGCGTCCCCTCCTCGGCAAAAAAGTAGTGCACCGCAAACATGCACGTCACTACATCAAATGGGGAGAACTCTGGCATGTGGCGGTCCCCCAGGTGCTCGCACTGCTCAAACTCGCATTCAATCGCCAGGGCTGGCGGTTCGGGGGGGAGAGTGAGGGTGGTAGTTATGACGGTGATGATGGCGGTGGTGGTGATGGTGTGTCAACACGCACCTCCTCGGGGGTAGAGCCATTGCCATTGTTGTCCCCTTTGCGTGCATGACAAGCGCATGCACACAGTCTGACATCAGCAAGGGGTTGCTCACAGGAGCTCATGCACACACACTTGCACATAGACCCGCACACATGCCACACACACACACACACACACACACACACAAAGGCAAACACATGCCGCACTCACAAAGACACGTATGCCACACACACACACACACACACACACACACACACACACACGCGCGCGCGCGCGCGCCCACGCTCACCTCCCCGGCCCTTCATCTCCTGGTACCGCCGCTGCGCCTCCTTGACCTCTGCAGGCGACAGATCAATGCCCTTCACGTACTTGACCTGCAGTGCGTGCATTTGAAAATCGAGTGTGACAGCTGGGTCAAGGCAGATCACGGGCGGCCGCCCGCGGATGGCTGCCACACATGGGCGGGCGTGCTCTGGCGCAGCGCTGCGTGGCTCGTTCAAGCGGGGCCAGGGCAGGCGCAGCGGAACCCCTTGCCGCGCCGCGCAGAGGGCAAGGGGCCAAGTGCAGCCCGCCCCGCCCGTCGCGCCTCAGCCGGCGGCGAGGGAGCCTGGCCTCCCCGCCGCCGCGGGCCCCAGGGCGCCGCCGCCGCCCCTCTCTTGGCTGCCGGCGCCAGGCTTGTCCGCCACTAGCACGCAGCGCGACGCCTGCTCCGTCCCCGCGTTCCATGTCCCAGCCCGAGCGCCGCGGCTGCTCTGTGCAACTGTCCCCACTGCCGCCCCCTCCCGCCGCTGCCACGCCCGCCTTGCCTTTGCCGCCCTCCATTTGTGGAGGTCCCCGCCTCGGCCGCATGCGTAGTCGAGCAAACAGTCCCGCCCATATGCAAACCTGCATGCGATGGTTTGCATGCGAGCGCATGCAGGCAAGCGGCTTGTGTCGGCCGCGGGCGCCTCATGCAGGGGGCCGCCCCGCACGCGGCAACGGCCGCGCCGCCCGGCGGAGGCTTGCGGAAGCATCAGCGGCGAGGGCCCTGCACAGGGCGCGCCCGCTGCTGCCGCGCCGCGGCGCTTGCCTGTAGATTAGCCGTCGCTTGATCTCGTTGTGGAATTCTTTGAGCGGAGCCGCCACGCCCTCTCTGCGCTGCTTCAGGGCCTGCGCCGCGGGGCGCCGAGGGGACCGGGCACATTGCAGCAGGTGCATCCGCAGCTCACTGCTGCAGTGGCCACGCCCAGCGCCATCCTCCACACGCCGTAATCACGCGAGTATCCTTCACGCACCTCGGCTGTGCTCAGATCCTTTACATGGCTATCATAATGGGCCTTGACGCGCTCCTTATGATCCGCCATCAGCGTTCCGATCTACGCCGCGGACATGAACGCTATATGTTTGCCGGAGAGCCGTGCAACGGAACACTCATGCGTTTATGCTCGCTTGACGGTGGGCTGGCTCTTGAGAGACGTTGCGCCGGGGTTGGGGTCACTCGGCGGTCGCGCCGCCGCTGCAGCTCATTTCGAGCTGCAGCTGAGCTGCTAGGCCGCCAACCAACAAAACGGATGCGACATGCTCAAGCGTACAAAGCACCCGGCTTCACACAAAGCCGGTCATTATCAGCCCCGTCATGCGTGTCTCATCACAAGCCGTGCATGTTTGACCCCCCTGATGCGGCCAGCGGGGGCATTTGCCCAGCACAAAGCTGCGTGAGGAAGGAACATGGCGGCTTTACATACAAGCATGGGTTAAAGATACAACGCAGCAAAGAAGACAGCACTGCGCCAGCACCGGCGCGCTTCGGAGGGGACAACAGAGGCGCCTGGCAGCGCCCGGCGCAAAAAACCCGGTGAGTGCAGCGCTTGTTCTGAGCTCTCCAAATCAGGGGTCCACGGGCGCGCAACAACAGCATGCCCCCCTGTCAGACACGCGCGGCAACGCGCAGCCAGACGGCTGCTTCCGATTCAAGGCGCGCGCCGGTCAAAGTCTGGATGGTACAGTCAACTCTTAAGCTGGAGTGATCACGAGCGCCCGCCGTGCGCGTGTGCGGACCGGCCGGGGCGCAAACAAGGGGCGCCGCCCCGCCTCTAGCTAGCCTCTGCTGCGACAGCTTGGCAAACCCTGCGCGCGGCGGGCTCCGGCCACCCTCCTGTGCGCGTCCCCTGTGGACAAGACGGCTGCTCTGCTGGCGTTTGAAGAGAGCTGGCGCCCGGGCCCCGGTCAGAAGGGCCGTTGCGCCGGGAGTCGGCTGCTCGGGGGCAGCACACGCGCAGGTGAATTCAAGAAAGCGGCCGCCAAAGGAGCGGGCCGCGCCGGGCGTTGGAAGACGAGGGGGCGGGTGGGAGGCGGGGGACCAAGGGGCTGGTGGACGGAACAAGGAAAGGCCCCCTGCAATGCAATGCATTGCGACGTCGCTCGCAAGTCCTATGTATGTAGGCGTGGCCCGCCCCATGTGTAGGCGTGGCGCCCGCCAGCGGCGCCTGCGCCACCCTGCGCCGCCCTCCTGCTGCGACCCGCCACGCCGACAGGACGGTCACGCTCACTCGGCCCAAACAATCCAGGCACCGCCGCCCCGCGCTGCTGCACTTGTTTGACGGATCAATGTGAAGCGGTGGGAGTTGTCAAGGGAAGTTGCCGGCTCCGGGCCGTAGCCGGCGCCGGAGCGCCCACGCGCAGACGCGGATGGTGTCGGACAAGGGCCGGTCGCACTGCGGCTCGGCGCGGCACGGGCGGCTGCGGCCGCCTGTGGGGCCGGATGCTTGTCGCAGCCAGGCGGCGCGGGCGCCAGGGTGAGCGTCTGGCGGGGAGGCCCTACTGAGGGGAGGCGCGGCGCTCGCCGCCGCCGCCGCCGCCGCCGCCGC